GCCCCAACCCCGGGCCTGGCTCCAGGGTGGGGCCCCGGCTGCGCCATGCCGGGCGACGTCACGGTCCTTGATTTTAATCTATTCATAAAGGGCTTTTGAACCACTCTTAGTCTGACCCGTCACCCAGGACCTGTTTGCCTTGGGAGACCCTACCAGGGACATATAGCCCCCGACAACATAGCTCCTAGGATCACTCGGGTACTCAAACCCCTCCACCACAATAAGGTGGCGGTTCAAGGAGGGGAAAACATATCTAGGATAGTAGATACTTTATTGATTCCACAAGGGAAATTTCTGAAACCCCAATTCCCTGACCGGGAATTGAACCCAGGCCACGGTGGTGAGAGCGCCGAATCCTAACCACTAGACCACCAGGGACTTTATTAACGTACTAAAGTAAATTTATTGTTTTGCTTTGGAGTTATTTCTCTCATAAAGATTGTTGTGTGATTTTTTTCTGTGTTCTTACGTCTGCATTGCGGGCAGCAGTCTCCTGGTACAGACTCCTTCTGTGTACAGTCCAGTGGAGGGCAGGGCAGGGGAGAACACTCCCTGTTACCACCCTGTGACCAAAGGAAGGACACAGAGGAATGACTGAAAAAAGCAAGAGGAATTGTTCAGGCTTGATAAATATGTTTGTGTGTGTGTGTGTTAGTATAGGTATATGTCAAATACACACCTTACAAGTACATGTCTGACAACCATCTAGCGTGCTGTAGGACACATTATGAATGATACCATCCAGCTCACAGCCTGATGACAAGACAAAATCTTTACTGTGTGCACATTTTTAAGGTTCTGCATGTGTGTCTGCATATCCCAAGTATACTGACAGATTCAATAAGAAAAGAGGGATATGGAAACAAGTTTGAACTTTATAACTGCTGTCCTCTCTTTCTATTAATGCAGATTTTCTTCATCTTTTCTCTAGGTCACTGGGGAACATCTGGGTTTACTTTTTCTCCAGTAATGATGGTACAGCATGGCTCCGATGTCATATGTGCTTGCTTTTGTTTTATGATCCACAACCATGACCAGACACGCCTGCAGCCTTCCAGCTGTTAAAAACTACCACCAGCAAGTCTGTTAACACCTGACAGAGGTTTACTACAAGGAAAATAGAGAAGAAAACTGGACAGGATTCCTTACAAAACAGATCAAATCATGGTCTGTCCCATTGTGTGTCTGTTGACATTATTTTGAGGGGGAAAAAACCAGTGTGGCACATAGTGAACACCGCAGAGCAAACTTGCTCAGATTTTTAATGTAATGCTTTCAGGGAGCTCATCAAATGTTGTTTTTGCTTAGCTTAGACATTCCAGGAGATAATTATTTTAATGATGACTCCAAAAGATAGAGACAATGTGTTTTTGTGTGAGAGAGGGCAATAATAAAAAGGATACTGGTGAGGATGCCTACTGTGTCAGCATCTATCAGGCATTTCCTCTAGTAAGCCAAGCGTGCATGAGATCAAAGCATGCGTAGGGGTGTGTAGGAGCTCGGTGCCAATGTTTTATGGCCTACATGCAGAAACAATTAACAGAGGGAGATGATGGAGATGCTGTACCACCTATTCTGGCCATGTTAGCAAAGTTAGCAACTGCTGTCAGCGATAAAGTAAGCCTAAGTGAAAATAGTCTCCCCTGCATCATAAACGGTATCTAAGAATTCGACAGTGTGTGTGATAAGAAATTAAAAAAAAATAAATCAGAGGAAGCACTGAGAAAGAGAGATTTGGCAAACAGACAGAAACTGAGTTATCTTTACCATTTATGTTAGCTTGGCATGTAACCTTTCCAGATGTGCAAGTACACACAGTGTTGCGGTCAGTCTGCCAGCGCTGGCCATTGTCCACCTCATGTCCCTCCCACACACATCGCTGCTTCACACACTCACATCCCTCCAAGTACTTTACACGTGACTGTAGGTCTACATTCTGTTATAAAACCAAAACTATGTATGAAGTTTAGCTTTGTTAAATTATATAATTTCATTTCATTCATGAAAGGTAATATATTCTAAGTGAAATATTGTAGCTACCTGAGCTTTGACTGTGTCAAGAATACGAGCAAGCTCTTCCAGCCTTTTCTCTATCTTCTTCAGCCTGTCATCTTTCTGGGTCTGAGAAACAGACTTTACCCCATGACGAGATCCTGGAGGCCCTAGGATGACCCCTCTCTGCACTTGGTCACTCTGGATATCCTGGGGATAATGGTTAATTTGAGGTTTACTGGGGGAACCATCCTGCTGGAAGATTCTATTGCTGTCAGTCCAAGAATCTGGCCTCTGGGCATCTGCGCTCTGAGACAGTGGCAGAGCATCTAGAAGGCAAACAGACATTTAGTGGGAGAAGATCGCCACACAAGAGTCCTGAGTAATACTTGAATGAATAAAAGAACAAGAAAACAATACTTGAATGAATAAAAGAACAAGAAAACAATGATGAAGCCTAAACAAACATCCTAAAAATATTTGTCTATATTTAGACCCACAGGGAGGAATAATAAATAAAATGTTTGGGGGACTTCCTGCCCAAGGGCCAATAGATATAATCAGTGCACCTCAGCCATGGTGGTCCCACTACTTAGTTCTTCTCACTGGCCAGGATTCTGAACACATTTGCAAAATAATGTTTTATATACAATTTACTAGTTTGTACAGCTGTTCATGATAAATCAGCACATTTCTGACAAAAGTTCTTGTCATCTCTCCCAGTGCAAAAGAATGCAAAATCTAAACAGTTGACGAGGCTTAGTCTAGGAGATAAAGAATAAAAATGAAATGAGAAGAGGACGACACTGAAGCCTCTGGGGTACTGTAAATTGTCACCACATGCCAACCCCACACAACATGCTATCATAAACAAATTGAGTTGTACATATAGACGTACATGCACATAAGCATGTACAATACACACAGCATATATAAACTCCAGAAAAAGAGAAAATCGATCACAGCTCCCCAGTGAAATGTGTGGAGAAAATTCACAGATATTGTTTCCTTCAATTTGACACTCCAAACAAAGAAAATGATTTGCATTCACTTATGTTTTAGGTAATGGTTCTTTACCTGTAACATTGTCACAAAGCCATGGACGCCTTAGATATGCTTTCATTGAAACCTCAGCTGTCCTCAGGAGTCCCTACATTTATAAAGAAACAGAAATGCTTACATACTGTATGTACACTGAACTGGTCCTGAAAATATAAAATGTAATTATAAATGATGTAGTATAATTTCATACATGTTAGATATATTGTATGTTAGGTCCAAAAGCTATTGTGATTATGTAGCAATTATGCTAGCTTCAAGTGGATTTAATAATATCCCAGAAGTGATATTGGTCTGATGTTGTATCTAGCATTTGAGTACAGTATTTATAAGAAACTCACACTAAATTTGCTGTCTTTCTTTTCCGGTGTGCTGGCGAGAGTGATGACAACATCTTGAGGCAATTTCAGGTTCATCCTTTCTTCATTTTTAATCGGGACAACAACAGCTTCTTGACAGTCTACAAAAAATGTGAGTCTCTCAGGCTCCAGGCTAACAGCCAGCTGTACCCACTCCTCCCTGGAGAAGGGGTTTCTTCTGGGGAAGTTAATGCTGGCAAGACCCTGAGCTCCTCCTCCTCCAACCTTGTAGTCCAAATGCAGAGTGTTATTGAGGCTGGAGGAGATGACTTGAAGAATGGGAAAAGATGCAAAAGAGAGAGAAAAGAGAGTCGCACTGGAGCTAGATGACTGCGACCCCACCAAATGCACCCCTATGCTACCCTGAAGGTTGGAATACAGGAAATGGGAGTATTCTGGAGGCAGAGTCAGGTAGGGTGCTCTGGGACGTATTCGATATATCACGCTGCTGGCACCCTGCAGTCTGGTAATACCACTTATGGGGTGGGACATGTTTAGAGCTGCCAGAAGGTCAATCACTAGGAAAGAGATAAAACAGAGTCACACACATATAGACACATCCTGTTCTGTATGAAGGATGACACTGTGGTTTTTGGTCTCTGATGAATGTGAATCTGTGTGAGAGGGAATCAGAATGAAGCCATTCACCAGCCATATCATCTGCCTCACTGACCTCGAACACTGTGTGGCACAGTCAGTCTCATCTATCTATCTCTCAGCAATATAGTACCTGATGCAGCTCTCATGACTAAAACGCTGAAACTGAAAGTTACAAGCTTTGCTTTGATTGAAGTATTTTTCAGTATTTCCAATATGCTGCTTGCTAGTTCAATGTCAATACATTTCAGAAGGAAATGCAGTATTTACCCCATTACATTTATATGGCAGCTATAGTTTAGTTGCGAATTAAGATTTTACATTTAGATCACCACATAAATTGATTCACTGTGACAAACTGAAACCAGGAGTATAATATAATCCCAACAAAAAATACAATAAAATTCAATGAGTACCCTATGTCATGATCCTGCCCCGCTGGCTTCCGATTCTCCCTGCTTTTACTCTGAAAGAACTTCCTGTCACCAGCTCATCCTCAACCCCGGGAACTTCAGCTCATTATGCACATTGGTTTCACCTGTCACTAATCACCCACACCTGTTCACCACAGCCAGATTGTTCTATGCCTTGTCTAGACTCTCCAGCATTTCCCTTGGACTGCTTTCCTGGTACCGGACCCGTGCCTGCTCTAACGATCTGTGATCCAGCCTGCTCCCTCCTGTCTGACTGCCAACCTGAGATCGACACCCTGCCTGTTCAACCTACCTGTGATTCTGCCTTGCCTTCCCTGCTGCCCTGCCGGAGACTTCGACCTTGGACTTATTAAGTACCACTCTTCTGCCTGATCCCCCAAGACTGTGTGTTTTTCTGCTTAAATCACAAAAGGACATTAAAATCTGTTCGACTGCCTCGGCTGACTGGCTTTTTAATTGGGTTCACTCGATCTTCACGGGAGTGTCACTCACCTCCCTGACAGTACAATCTGGCCATAAAATGAACCCAGCCAGTAGCGAGTACCGAGCCTGGCAGGACCGCATCGAACAGGCTCTGGCGGCCCGTGAGACTGCAATAGGGGCCGTACAAACCTGGGTGCATGGCCTGGCCAGCGAAGATCGGACCCAGGGTGCTGCCGCAGCTGCACCGAACCCTGCTCCGCTCTCTCCACCGGTCTGCCACGAACCCAAGATCCCACCACCGGAGCGCTATGGAGGAGAAAGCGGAGAGGGACGCTCGTTCCTTACCCAATGTGAGATACAGTTCGAATCCCAGCCCTCTGCCTTTCCTACCGAGCGATCCAAAGTAGCATACACGCTGTCACTGCTGACGGGTCAGGCACGCCGATGGGGAACTGCAGAATGGGCCAACAGATCTGACTGCTGTGCCACTTTTCAGAGGTTTGGGATGGAGTTGGTGAGGATTTTCGATCCACGCAGCCACGCCTCTGCCGCATCTCCTCCTCTGCTTACGTTAACACAAGGAACCCGGACAGTGGTGGATTACATTATTGATTTTCACACAGCGGCCGCCAACACAGAATGGAACGAGCCGGCATTAATAGACACTTTCTACAGTGGGCTGTCTGACAGACTTAAAGATGCGCTTACTGCATATGACCGACCCAGACGCCTACGTGCGCTCATGGATCTAGTCACCAGAATTGACAGCCGTTTTCGGGAGAGGCAATGTGGCCAGAGGCAGACCCCCCCCCCTGCTTTCGCACGAGCACCAGCCGAACCGCCGGAGCCCATGCAACTGGGCCGCTCCCGCCTTTGTCCAGAGGAAAGGGAGTGCAGATTCAGGCAGAATTTGTGTTTGTATTGTGGGGAGCCTGGTCATCGGGCGCTGCATTGTCCGTTAAAAGACAGAGGCTCAGCAGGACGGGGAGGACGTTGCTGAGCTGCACCATTTTGACCTCCCGACCCGTCATCACAGCCCAGCTCTCATATGGCACCAGGACTATCCAGGTTCCGGGTTTCATTGACTCAGGGTCAGATGCCAGCTTCATAGATCCAGAGTTTCTCCGTCACCATCAGATCCCCAGCCTACCTGTGAGTAACCCACTCCTAATACATTCTCTCAACAAAAAGCTCCTTTAACGCATCACCAGCCACACTCCTACATTAACTCTTACTATTGAGAATCACAGGGAGACAACCAACTTCTTAAGGTGATGTCTTCCCCTCAACATCCAGTGGTACTCGGCTTTCCATGGTTGATTTAAACATGGAACCCAGATTGCTTGCGCCACAGGAAGAGTCGTCGAATGGTCCCCACAGTGTGCCACCCAGTGCTTGCAGTTGGCGTCATTTCTGGCAGCAGAGGACGACCCAGAACCAGACTCCTTTCCTGACACGTCTAAGGTCCCCCCTGAATATTCAGATCTCAAGCAGGTTTTCAACAAGACACGAGCCACCACTTTACCACCTCATCGCCCATATGATTGCCCAATCAACCTACTGCCAGGTACCACCCCCCCCCCAGGGGTCGATTGTTCTCCCTTTCTCCCGGAACAAAAGGCCATGACGGCATACATCAGTGAGGCCCAGGAGGCCGGTCTGATTCGGCCTTCTTCGTCACCAGCAGGGGCCGGTTTCTTCTTTGTGGGAAAGAAAGACTGAGGGTTTCGCCTGTGTATTGACTATCGGGGGCTCAATAAAATAACTGTCAAGAATCGTTATCCCCTACCAGTCATGTCCTCTGCATTCGAACTGCTACACAAGGCCAGACTCTTAACCAAGTAAGACTTGAGGAATGCTTATCATCTGGTACGCATACGGGAAGAAGATGAGTGGGAAAATGGCGTTCAACACCCCAGCAGGTCACTTCGAATATTTGGTCATGCCTTTTGGACTCACAAACACCCCTGTGGTGTTTCAAAATCTGGTCAATGATGTGTTGGGAGATGTGCTGAATAGATTTCTTTGTATACCTTGATGACGTTCTCATATTCTCCTCTTCTGAGACCGAGCACAGAACCCATGTCCGAGCCATGCTGCAACGACTCCTACAGAACCAGCTCTTTGTGAAAGCAGAGAAATGCTGTTTTCATGTTAAGACTGTCTCCTTCTTGGGATTCATCATTTCCCCAGGGTGCATTGAGATGGACCCTGCCAAGGTCCAGGCAGTGTCTTCATGGCCTATCTCGACCACCTGACGGCAGACAACGGTTCTTGGGTTTCGCCAACTTCTACAGCAAGTTCGTTAAGGACTACAGTTCCATTGCTGCCCTCCTTCATTGACTCGCATCCAACACCAGGCGTTTTGCATGGACCGAGCAGGCCGAAGAAGCCTTTTAGACACTCAAGCATTGTTTCACCATGGCCCCCATTCTCACCCTGCCAGACCCCCACAGGCAATTCATCATGGAGGTGGACGCCTCAGACACCAGGGTGGGGGCAATCTTGTCCCATCGCACAGACTCTGACATGAAACTTCACCCTTGTGCTTTCTTTTCCAGGCGTCTCACCCCCGCCGAGTGCAACTACAGCATAGGTGAGAGGGAGTTACTGGCAATAAAACTGGCCCTGGCAGAATGGAGACACTGACTGGAGGGAGCAGCATTACCATTTCTGGTTTGGACTGATCATAAGAATTTGGAATACTTGAGGACAGCAAAAAGACTAAACCCCAGACAGGCAAGGTGGGCACTGTTTTTCAATCATTTTAACTTCTCTCTGTCATTCCGCCCTGGACACAGGAATGGCAAGGCAGATGCCCTGTCCAGACAACATGATCTACGGGAGGAGGAACACCACGAACCTGCCTATATCCTACCTCCTGCTTGCCTTGGGGCCATGCACCTCGGCATTGAACAGGAGGTAATAGCCTCCCAAGCGACGGAACCAGGTCCTTCCACTTGCCCCCAGGATCAGCTGTTTGTGCCTGTGACCCTGAGATCCAGAGTGCTCAAATGGTGCCAAGCGTCCCGGTTCTCCTGCAACCCAGGTGTGGCCCGGACCTGCTACTTCGTGCAACAACGCTTCTGGTGGCCCACAATGCGCAAGGACATCAGAGCCTTTGTGGGCGCCTGCCAGGACTGTGCCAAGAATAAGCCCTCATCGGGTCGGCCCTCCGGACTCCTGCACCCACTTCCTATGCCCTCGAGACCTTGGACCCACATAGCTCTGGACTTTGTTACTGGCCTGCCCCCTTCCAGAGGTAACACCACTATACTCACTGTTGTCGATAGATTTTCCAAAATGGTTCATTTCATTCCTCTCCCCAAGTTGCCCTCCGCCAAAGAAACAGCACAAGTCCTCCTCCAGCACGTCTTTCGCCTGCACGGCCTGCCCAGGGACGTTGTCAGACCGGGGACCACAGTTCGTGGCACGCTTCTGGGCTGAGTTCTGTCGTGTACTTCTGAACATCACAGTGAGTTTGTCATCAGGGTTTCACCCTCAGACCAACAGCCAAGCAGAGAGGCTCAATCAGCAGCTAGAGACCGGGTCCTGACTACTGTGTAGCCAGGACCCATCTCTGTGGGCGGACAATATTGTCTGGGTAGAGTACGCCCACAGCTCACTCCCCTCTTCTGCAACTGGTATACCACCATTTGAATGCAACTATGGTTATTGTCCCCCCTTGTTCCCTAGCCTGGAGCTGGAGATCCAGGTACCCTCAGCGTCAGCCCTAGTATGCCGCTGCCACCGGACCTGGAGGAGAGCACGCCTGGTATTACTCCGGACAGTCAAAAACTATGCCAAGTGGGCCAACATACACCGCTCCAGGGCCCCCGAGTACAGACCAGGACTCCACTCGAGACTTGCCCCTCCGGACTGAATGCCAAAAATTAGCGCCTCGCTTTGTGGGACCTTTTCCTGTGTCCAAGCGGCTAGGCCCCGTGGCAGTTAGGCTCCAGCTGCCTCACACACTCCGTTCTCACCCTTCTTTTCATGTGTCCAGAATCAAGCCCATCCGCTCCAGTCCATTGGCCCCTCCTCCGGGTCCACCACCTCCGCCCTGCTTCTTCGACAGTGGTTCAGTCTGACTGCCAACCTGAGATTGACACCCTGCCTGTTCAACCTACCTGTGATTCTGCCTTGCCTTCCCTGCTGCCCTGCTGGAGACTTCGACCTTGGACTGTATCAAGTACCACTCGTCTGCCTGATCCCCCAAGACTGTGTTTTTCTGCTTAAATCACAAAAGGACATTAAAATCTGTTCGACTGCCTCGGCTGACTGGCTTTTTAATTGGGTTCACTCGATCTTCACGGGAGTGTCACTCACCTCCCTGACACCCTACTTATGAAGCACCTTTTGTCTGCACGGTAATATTTATGCACTTTGACTTAAGGTTACTTAAATGCTTTGTTATGCTGCTTACCAAACATCAACTTGCTCTCCATATTACATAAAAATAAATAAATGCCTTTTAAAATGACATTTAAAAATTGCATGTTTAAAAGCCAGTGACACTTTGGTGAACTCACCATTGTCATGATTTGAACCAGAGTGCCCCTGCACAGACAGTGCAAAGACCCAGAATAAATGTATCTCCAACAATGTGAGGGTCCTCAGTTTGCCGCTCTCCATTCTCCAGACAAATAAAATGCAAAGCCTGGATTAAAATCCAAAAACCCTACACAAAAAACATACTATTCATTGTTCTCTAAGCCCAGTGCCATGGACAGTGGAGTGTGCACTCAAGATTTCCCTGTTCTTCTGGGTGCAGACCTCTCCAAATAGCGCGCAGGGGAAACATTAAACATCTGGATGAGGGCAGGACGTCACTCCTCTGCAGTCTCACACTTACATTCCCGCTGGGGCCGTATGTACACCGCAATACCACTCCATGACAAAAAATGTGGTGGCGAGAGTATGATAATTCAAAATCATTCACTTGCTTTGTCCTGAAAGAGGGACAGAAAAAAAAAGAAATGCATGCAAAAAGGTTCAGGTGTGTGTGTGAGGTCATCAGCTCTTCTCTCTGCCTTGTTCAGTTTTCAGTCCCAGAAGGACAGTTTGAGGTCTTTCCTTCTTCTGTTTTCCGTCTTTTGTCAAGGAAAAAAAGTCTCTCCACCCAGCACTGCTCAGTGTGTGTTGATTCCCAAAGACCCCCTTTTTGGTAATGAGCCAAAACCTGGTCTGGAGACTGGAGAGGAGCCATGTTGAAGCAGCCAAACATCTATGTGTGTGAGCGCAGAGAGAGGGGGCAGGGGTAAACACAAGTAATCAAGTTTCACTGCTTTGGAATGAATCCCAGTGTGCAGCCCACTGTATTCAATCCCTCCACCTCTGTCTCCACAATTTTTGGCTTTTCTCTTATGATGATGTTGTTGTCCCGTTCATCTGTGCTGTGTTTATTATTTCAGAAATTTGCTCTAAGTACAGCCTCATAAGCAATAGTTCTGACATTACACAGAAAGAAAGACATACTGCATGACTCTGTTTTGCTGAAGTAATTTTGGGTTAAGGATAGGACACCCAGGTGTTTGTAATGCAGAAAGCAGACTGGAGAGTCCCTCATCTCTCTGGTGCCAGGTGTCATGTTTTTCCATACAGTTGGTGAATATATGTGTTGAACAGGCCTTGTGTAAGTGGGGGAATGAGACACTTGATTTTAACTAAGATCCAACCCTCCATTCACATACCACACAGAACCTCACCATGACTCATGTCTGTTAGCCTGTAATAGTCACAATTAAAAAGGTCTCCTGTTTTTGCTTCAATGGTTTTTCATCATACACACAGTCCCTCTGGATTTCATGGCACTTCCAGGCTCAGGCGCTGAGAGATGTTACTTTGATAAAGTAGAACTAGAGGGGAACATTTTGCTAAGTGATTTAGATTTTAATGTATCATTGAACTTTGTGAAGGAGGTAATATATTGTAAAATCTATACAATCCAGAAATTACCCTAAATTAGGTAAATGTGTTGGACAAATTCAGCAACTTATATTTAAAGAATCAAAAGTAATTTATTCCATTATTATTTATTGCATTAGTTATTGCAGTATTTAATTATTTAATGCACCACCAGGGCCTTATGCAAACTTTGCTTTGCCCATCAGTTATAGGAAATAGAATGCAATGAAAACACTTGTTTCATTTCATATACATAAATGACAGAGTGTGATGCATGACTGAATATATTACATGTGTATAAAGAGCAATATTTGAGTTACACTCCAACCAGCGATGTGACAATAGATTTGTATATTTGTCTTTCTCTAGAATCATCAGTTCTTGACAAATGTTCATATAAGTAATCCATGATTGCCATCTCAAATAATAGTATTACTGTACAAGACTAAACAAATCACACACATTCTGCAAAAACAGATGTTAAGATGATGTAGCTGTCCAAGCCAGCTGCTCTCTATCAACTATCTCTCATGATGTCATCTTTTTAACCACATCTCTGCTGACATCCAGTGGTCACATCAAATCACAGCAGGTGGATACAAATGGTGATAATCTGTTCACCTGTAAGTCTGGTGGTGAGTTAATCTTTCCAAATATCATCAACCATAGCTTGTTATGACAAAATGATGACACGAAAAAAGACAGGCCTTCAGACAGTGGAAACCAGTCACCATGACTACACTCACCAAAACATTTCTCATGGAGCCAGACAACTAATTTTATCACAAGTACCCTGGAAATATGTGGAGACATACTCTTTTGCTCTGTCTTGCTGGCACAAGTGTGTAAAAGGATGTGAGTTAATCTTCAGAAGGTGAAGAGTAGATGTTTGATAGCTAATCCCTTGTCCAGCTCCATTAGTTGACACACATAGCTAATTGAATAACAGGCGGAAGCTGTGTAGTCTATGTTCAGACTAAGTTAACACATTTTAATCTAAACAACAGCCTGAAATATACATGTATAGTTTAAGTATGACACAAACTGACACTGACAAAAATGACATTTCCTATTATGTTGTGTAATACAGTAAACAGATCTTGATCAAGAACTGACAGCTGAGTGTCAACTGCATGACAAGCAGTTTAGGAAGATGCCTTTATACCAGACAAATTCACTTGTGACCCAGGCCTCAGAGCTCACATCAGGTTCTTCTCATCTTTAATCTGATTCGCTCAGTCTTTGTTCATGACCAGGTAAGCCTCACCTTCAGGCTTTAGCCTCTGAGCTGACGTTTATCCCAGGATACACTCAGTAAGCTGCGGTCTGCTTTTTAATGTGTGTAAGGGGTGTGCATTTGTGTATGTGTGGCTGGTATTGGCTGTTTTTGTCACTTTATTTATTCCTAAAAGCTTCAGCATGGCTTTTTGAGCGGCTTTCAGGGTTTTATGTCTGCGAATCAGAGATGCTGCTTCCATCACCAGTGAGGAGGATGTGGAGTGTGACAGACGAGCTGCAGAGGATTTGACAACAACAGGTCAGTCAGCTGAACAACAGCGCAGATGCTCAGTGGTAATATCCATGACAACGCTGACTCAGCTGAGTATGTAACAGAAAGCGTATGTGTTTATTTACCTCACATTAGCAGCAGAGTTGTTGTTTTAGTAGATTTTGAACCCATTTTCCTGCAAAGCCCCAGACCCCATCTACATTCAAATGCATGCATGGACACAATGAACCCAGAGACACATAGTTGCACACCTGAGTTTACTTGTGTATTTGATGTTGAATTTTGTGGTCAAGAAATATGGTCTGCATTTGTTTTATGTTGGTAAGTCAGTAAGATACTATTCTACTGGTCTGCTCTCAGACTGGGGTGAGTTTATCTGTGCTGTACATTAAGAGAGATGTTGCTATCAAGGTGCAGAGTAAAGCTCTGTTTAGCCAAGATGGTCATCGGAAGATGAAAGGGCAAACCTTTTTTAATCATGTTTGTTATTTCTCTCTCTTCACTCAGAAAGATTCAGTTCCCAAGGCCTGACCAAGCCAAAGAATGGCCTTCACTAATTTGAAATGAAATTTGTGTCAGGCCAAGACTCTAGTCTGCTTACTGCTGGTCCTCCTGAATGTGCACACAGCCACAGGTA